ATCTTGGGACTGATCCAACTCCAATTGAGCTCCCGGTCCAGAACTAGACTGAGACTGGCTGCACAAGAACTCTTTCAAGGTGGGCTGGCTGCCCTCAACCCGGGCTTTGGCCCTAGCGACGAAGATTTGCTGCTCTGATTCAGGGCTGGCAAACCATTCCGCGAGCTTCAAGTTTGAATATCTTCGCTTGATTTTGGCTTCATTGCCACCTTCATCTCGCGCTTTGCGTTTCAGGTCTTGACCCCGAGGAAGACCATCAAGCTCTTGTAGAAACAAGTCACGCGCAAGCGACAGGAGCTTCGGAGCCATGCAGCTGAGCTCGTTGGAAAACAAAACGATGCCCTAGATTGAGCCAAAACCCTTGTAGGGCTTAGGCGAGATAGATTCATTGCATGTAGTGTTTACGACTTATGCGACAGCCGGAGGCCTGACCTTGAAACCCTAAACACAAACACGAAATCCCTGGAAAAGCCCTCCGTCCTCCGACGAACATCCTGACCCCAGATTTCCAAGCAATCCAACATCCGGCATCTCGACATTTTCACGCCAACATCCCCTGACACCCAACGCCCAACGCTTTGGAGTTTGGGCTGCATGAACAAGGACCCCATAACAAGGTACCCCTGATTTGCGGAAACTCCAAACCTTGGACCCTGTGTGTAGATCGCTTAAGGAACCCCTAGAGATCCCTTTTAAGGTACCCCTGATTTTCGGAAACTCTCAACTCACAAAGCCTTCGAGACGACGGCATGCTGCACGTAGGGCTCATCCCGTGGGACATACCAACCCGCACGCTGGAGGTGCGCCGTGCAGCCTTCATAGCTCGACGCGTCCTCCTTGGAGGTTCATGGGTAGTTGTAAGTAGGGTTATAAGTCCCTACCACCATGGGTTGTAAGTATCGCTATCCTACTTATAGCTCCACCTTCAGTAACTATCCCTGGACCTCCAAGCAGTGTCTCGGGTTTGGGATTTAGGGATTCCAAGGTTGATGCTTTATGGTAGAAGCCAGATAGTTGGAATATGATTATCCTAAACCCTTTATGGTAAATTATAGGATATCCTACCCTGAAACCATATTCCAACTTTCTGGAGTTCCCTTTAGGGGTTTGGGGTTGAGGATTCCGGACCTATGGCTTGGAGTTGAATTCTGCCTCGAATTTGGAGGCCTCAAAAGGTGGGATGAAGGTAGGTGGGATATTCCCAAAATAAGAGTCCTCATATAAGGGATCCTTAATCCTACCTATCTTCATCCCACCTTGTGGAGCCTCCGAGAATCCACCCCTGACGACACATTGCATTAAAAGCAAGACGACCTTCAATCAAACGACGTCCTACCATACTGGGACTGTCCTAGCAGACAGAGCCACTCCAGAAATCCCGAAATGAGTGTGAAACACCTCTTAGAGCTAATGCTGCGGGAGCGACACCACCAATGAACTTGACATGGCAAGCAGCCTCAACTCACGGTTTCCAGGCTCCGGTGTGATATGTCTATACTTAGAAGACAAGGAACCCTTACCTAGACCCTCAAAAGTAGGTAAAAGAATGGCCCAAAACGTATAAAAGGCTATTACTCTACATACTTTGGGAGTTCAGGTCCATGGAACAGCTTACCTAAATAAGCTCTTCAACCTCGAGCCAAGGGGCTTGCCCACGCTAGGATGTACGTCGCCGGGACAATTGGATGCAAGACTCAACAGTCCCAGCTTCGGAGTTGGGTTCAGGACTTACGGTTTTAGGGTTTCGGGGTTTAGGGTTTAGGTTCAGGGTTTAGGGTCTGCGGGTTTAGGGTTTGGGGGTCTAGGTTGCTGGGTTCGGGAGTTCGGGGCATGGTCAGGAAGTTCCAGTGTTTCGGCTGCGAGGCTTTTGAAAACCCACGTTTTACTGCATTCTTACCCAGCTTGGCCAGCGACTACTACCACTACTAAGGGACTGACACAGGATCAGGACGACCACTGCTCTGCATCTACGACATCACCTGCTTCTCGTAGTGACTTGTAATGCATGGTGACATTCCTGTGCAAGCTAAAACCCTGAAACATCAAGCAGCCCTGAAACCTAACACTGTCCAACCCACCCCAAGCTCAACGTATGTGAGTATATGGTTGTCCGAGAACCGGAATCCGCTGCCGCACAGCGCGGAAGTCGAAACGAACACCGTCGATCGAATGCAGCCGCACCTTTGGGGGCTTCAAGGCTTCGGCTCAAGCTTAGGGTGAAGGTAACCCTTATAGTAACCCTTATCCTAGTATAGTACCCTAAATGGAAGGATCCTTACTATAAGGGCCCCAAAATAGGGGGGCAGATAGGGGCTCCAGAAAATGTAGACAGTTGAGGGTTGATCTAGCCATGCGCCAACATTCGATCGAAACCGGCATTGGGAAGCAGAGCGAGTCCCAGTTGAGACCCGTACTACCAACAACAACAAGAAAAAATAACTACGACAGTCGTTGTGAGTATTCGTTGTACTAACATACACATTCGGCCTAGCTGCCATAGTAGCATTGTTGCCGGTACACTTCTGACCACAGTCCTACTTAAAGGACCATGATAACCCCAATTAGGGTACTTATAACCTTACTTACTAAGTCCCACGACCCTCGAAGTACATATCTCACTATACCACAACTGCAATGCCGCGGATGTAACAAACCCTAAACCCTAAACCCTAAACCGGATGTAGGGGTTCGAGGTCAAGGCGGAAGATGGATTGACCAGTTTCGGCCTGAAGCCCTACACCCTACTGTTGATGATATACATCCTGCATTACCTTAAGGACCCTAAACTATGAGCCTTATGGTATATTACTTATTATGGGTCATGCAGGATATATATCATCAATCCTAAACACTAGGGTTTGGGGCTACGTCCTTGTGACGATGCCATCTGTATCTGCTATCGAGCTTCGTAGCGGCATCAACAAAGCTAACTCAAAACCCTATAATCCTAAACCCTGAAACCAGATCCACGTGCTTGACAAGCTAAACCCTCAGAGTGTACAACATCGCAAAACCTACCAGTACAAAAACCGTAATAGCTAAGCCCTAAGCCCCGTGACTCTGCAAACCAATCAACAATAACCCTGCAAGCCGAAAAGCCTCAATAGAGAGCCCAATACCGAATTCTTGAGGGGCATATCTTCAATCATACTGCTTTGATGCTCGATAGTTGAATGACCATTGCTTATCTACGTGATTTTGGACTCTAGGCCCTGCCCCCTAACCGTCAAGCTTAAACCACCTAGATGCTAAACCGTACAAAGCTAAGCCCATAAGCCTTAACCCTGTGCAGGCTCCAGCCTCCAGGGTGTCCTCGTCCATCAGGTGGAGCTGGACCTGATCCCGACCTACGGAGAGCACAATGTGAGTACCTATAGGGTTGAGGCTTCAAGGGTTGAGGGGTTTAGGGTTCTTTAGGGGTTTAGGGGTTTAGGGTTTTAGTGTTTAGGGTTTAGGGTCAGGTAGGTAAGGGGTATTTGTTTGTATTGGGCTTCTAGGGCCTATGGGGCTTTACAGTAAGGGTTTAGCAGGCTTTTATACAGGGCTGTTAGAGTATATGAAGTTCTACAGTAAGGGTTGAGCGGGTTGATAGGGTTTAACAGTAAGGGTCCGGGGTTTAGCAGGTTTTTATACCGCTTGCCAACAATCCCTGGTTGCAGGGTATTTTGGGCTTAGTAGGGCTTCTGCATTTAGGGTTTTAGATAGCTTCATAGCATGACTTAAGGTGTATATATATATATATATATTCCTTCATCAAGTGGTATTGGGCTCTTTGGGGTTTTGCTTGTGTTTTGGAGAATTCGAGAAGGAACTTGAGGGGTTTCACAAGCTTCGTGCCCAGGATGCAGGGCTTTGGGTTTAGGGTACATATAGAGAAGACAAGACTGACGACATGACTGTCCCATCCTTACATTGACATATAGCCCGAACAATCGGATCCGCGCTACAAGGCCCTTAATCCGGAGGCTCCTCTCGTCATCGCAAAAACATCTCCCGCCTCCGGCGGCAGGCATGCTTCCCGACCACCAACCATCATTCTCAAGCTCCTTGAGCGGTACACTGGCGTGCGACTTCGTGTCCCGGCACCTGGCTCTAGGGGCGCAGGCTTCAGGTTTTGGAGTTTGAGGTATAGGTATAGGTTTGTTCAGGGCTTAGGGTTCCGGGCTTTCGGTTCGGGGTTCAAGGCGTAGGGCGAAAAAGTTGGAGATGCTGCTGTGCCAGGTTGTTGAGGTTCAGGGTCTCAGGGTCTAAGTACACAGGACGTTACAGATGCTGCACGTCCTTTTTCAGGGCTTGCCAGGAACCCGTATACAAGCCTTACAGCAGCTATCAGAGACCCCATAGAACCCTCTACCGAATCCTTACAGCATCCCGTTTAGATCCCTTATAGCAACTCAGGATCGATGCACCTCGTCTGCAGTACCAACCCACCTTTGTAGCCAATGTTGATGGAGAAAACCGTCAGGATGCTGTCAGCGGACCAGGGTCCAAGCATCTCCTGTCCTTGGAGTCACGGGAGCCCGAGACCAATAAAAATATAGGAACCTTAATTACCAGAATAGGGCTCACAAAAAGGATTCTTCAAGGGGTCCATACGGGTTCTATAATGCAGGATCTGGGTGTTGAGGTGTATTCTATAGTCGTAATACGGAACCTGCGGAATAATTTTGGGACATATTACTACTGAATATTCAGGCCCCGGTGTACCGAGCGAGGATCCATTCTCCGTGTCATTAAGTGGGGATGCTTGCAGTAAAGACTCTACAACTCAGGATCCACGTGGGAACCTTTATTCCCTGAAGCCCCTACAGTACGTGCCCATAGCTAGGAATTGGGTGCTGCCGCTGTGCTTTGTCAGACCTGCATACTTACAAGCCCTGGTAGGAGCAGCAGCAACCCCTCTGCTGCAGATCCAGCCATGCCAGCAAATATGTGTTCTTTTACATTAATACTTTAATCATTGGAGTTTGTTTGCGCAGGTCTGCATCTACTTTGGAGCGTCGAAAAGTGGGGTTCAATACTTTCTGAAGCTTGCATATGATTGGAGGGCCTAGGGTCACGGGCAAATGGCACTTACCCCTCATGTACAGAACTTCGTGAATCCCACGAGAAGCCGTCTTAAATTTTTGCACTACTAGCAGTCGAGACCCTCAAAATTTGCTCTAACAACAAAAGCACTACATCCTAAATCCTAAACCCCGAAGCAGAGTCCCCAGAGCCTCCAAAACCCCTTAATTAAGGAATATACCTTAAAGTATATTAGGGATCCTATTATATTTCAAAGTATATTCCTTAATTTATGGGTTTTGGAGGCTCTGGGTACATCCTACATCCTAAACCCTAAAACAGAGTCTTGCGGTGCCAGAGTCCATCTGGTGCCTTGGGCTGGATGGTGCCCTCCAGGCTGGCCTCGTAGCTTCAGCTTTGAACTCCCAAACTTTGAGTTCAAGACCCTCAAGCCTGAACCTAGACCCTCAAAAGTAGGTAAAAGAATGGGCCCAAAACCTATAAAAGGCTATTATTCTACATATTTTGGGGGTCCAGGTAATCTCTAGATCCCCAAACCTTCGATCCTGAAGGTGTCTGAGTAGTTGGGTGGGCTGCCTAGGTACTTTAGACTTTACTCCAAAAGCCCTATTCGGACCAAGTCCTGCCAAGCCTTGTGGTGCCCTATATGCGGGGTTTGAGGTTTCGGGTTTGGGGTCTAGGGTGCTGGATGGGTTTAGGGGTTTAGGGTTTAGGGGTTTAGGGTGTAACGGACTTGGGTTTGTGGTTCTACTGAATACCGGAATCCGAAACCACGCAACGATGATCCCACAACACCTCCGACACGCACACCCATGAACCCCAAAAACTAAACCCTGCACCCCTCAGCCCGATAACATATCTAGGGGCCTTTCCGGGTAACTCTCCCCAGAGCCTCCAAAACCCCTTAATTAAGGAATATACCTTAATTAAGGGGTTTTGGAGGCTCTGGGTCTGGTGTTAGCAACATTACTAGTAACTGGCATTGCTTAGTCTAATTATTGTTGTTATGGTGGTGAATGTTTTCGTTCGTACTATTGTTACTGTTGTTAATACTAGCATCATTTTTCCAAGACGCTGAGATTCCCCCTAAACACTGAATCCGAACCCCGAAATCCCAAGATGGCCTGAACTGTAGGTAGCATTGGGTAGCATGCCATGTCGATGGTTCTGCATCAGCACTGGGTCGTGGCCCTTCCTTCCAACTACCCCTAAGGGTCCATCTACCCATATGGGAGTTTCCGACAATTAGGGGTACCTTATTTTGGGGTCCTTATAATAAGGATCTTACTATTTGGGGTACTATATTGGGGTCCCCTATTTTCGGAAACCCCCATATAGAGATCCGGGTGCCATAAGGGATCCTTTAACGGATCTATAAGGGTTCGATGAGGATTTAGGGTATAAGGGTCCATCTACCCATATAGAGATAAATTGGCCCCAAAGTACCTATATACAGACTACATAAAGGCCAATGTATATACTATATGAGTACATGGACCCTTAGGGTACGGTTTAAGGCTTAGGGCCTAGGGCTTACGGCTTAGAGTTTAGGCATGTTTAGGCTGTTGGAGCCGAATTCAGGAAATTTGGTATGGCAGGTTTAGGGTTTCAGGGAAGTCAGCATAGTTAAGGGTTAGGGCTTAAAATTTCAGGGAAACCGATGGGTGAAGTAAGGTTCAAAGATTGAAAGATTTCGAGCTTTGAAGGGAGTTTGGGGATTAAGCAGGTTTTCAGGCAACATTTTTGGTGCTTCGGTATCATAGGACTCGGTTAGGCCTTGCAGTGTAGGCTGGTCTCAAAGATTTTCGGTTTCCATGCTTAAGAGGGTAAAAGGAGGGACCCTTAATAAGGATCCCTGGGTATATACCTTTGATATAGCGATTATATACCCATTATATAGTCCATTATAGGGTAGGGGTCCCCATTAACGGTCCCTCCTTTTCCCATTTGAAAAGTGTAGGGTTTAGGGTGTCCAGGGGTCAGACACGTGGTTCCAAGGTAGAGTTTCTGCAAGAAGGGCTATCGGATTCCCTCATCGACACTATCAGCATCACAGCGGCAAGCAGAAGCATTAGAAATTCAGCAAAAGGACAGTCCTGGTCACCACTACCAGTCTGATCATAATCGCCACCATCGTCACCCTCATCTGCAACTGAAGCGCCACACCATCATTACCATGGTCATGGCTGTGATCACCGTTGCGGTTTGCGTTGCACTCGGCATATCTGCCGTGATTCAACACTACCATAGCAACCACCCCAAACCCTATTAAACCCTAATCCCCAAACCCCAAACCCTAAACCCATGCGAGCTTAGCTCTCGACAAACCTTGAGGTCTCCACATGTAGGATTTCATGCCCTTGCGACCAAAGGAGCCACCGGGCCTCGAGCCCTGAGAACCATGCCTGTATGCCCCAGAGTCCCTAAGCCCTACCGAGAGGCCCCAAAGTAGTTCCTTTTTGGGATTACCTAATAGGATTCTAGATATGAACCCCAAAAAGGAACTACTTTAGGGATCTTTAGGGCCTTAGGGTAAACACTAACCCTACTCCCGAAACCCTGATCCCTCAATCCTATACGCTGCCAGCTAGGCCAGGGGGAGCCTGACAACTAAAGCAGGGGCTTGAACAATTAGAATAGGGTGGTGAGTTTTGGGGGTTCCTTGTTACAATTATAGCACAGTACAACCCCAGACCCAAGTCTAATTAGTACGGCCTCCATGTTAGGCTCAGCATGTAGGTCTGGTGCCATGTCATCAAACGCTCATCTTCTATCTAGGCTCCTACCCCAGGGTTGCTTAAAACCGGATTACCGTATTTAGGGGCCCTTGCAGTCAAGTCAGAAGTATATGTCTGGATATATATGTATATAGATATAGATAGAAGGCCTAGAGTAATCTGGAGCTCTCTGTTCATGTAGAACTTCTCCCTTTTAGACACTCAGGGTTTAGGGTTTGGGCCAGGGCTTATAAGCCCTAAACCCTAAGCCCTGAAACCCAAAACCCTATACCCTGGGTTTACCCACAGGCCCCATAGTAGTTCCTTTCGGGGATTACCTTATAGGATTCTAAATTGAACCCCCTACAGGAACTACTATGGGGCCTATGGGTACATTGTGGCCAAGTCGCTCCATGACCAGAACGTACTCGGGGTTCAGGAACTCCAGAACTTCGGCTCGGCAAGTAGCAAAGATGAAAGGTGCTGAGGTCGCGGGCTCCTCCAGGACTGACTAAGCACAGTATCGTATAGCATAAGCTAGTGTGACTCGAGGAAATATGATCTGATGTAATAACCAGAGCGCAGTATCATCTAATTATGCTACCATCGAAACCGTCTGGAGTTCTCGAAGGCTTCGATCGCCTTGCCAGCACCACCCTTATCATCACCACGGCTTACCACCGACATCACGGTCATATTCATAAAGGGGAACGCCGAAGTCAGCAACTAGACTCGAGGTAGATGGGAGTTTCCGAAATTAGGGTACCTTATTTTGGGGCCCTATAATGAGGAAAAAAGTATTTCGGGTACTATGTTAGAGTCCCCTATTTTCGGAAACTCCCAGATGGTGGCTGATTACGGTGGGGGGGGGGGGGGCTGTTTGGTTCGACATTTGTGCGCTGAGGGCTCCGGGGAGTCAATGTGCTAACATATATATATATATATATAATACAATATATATATATATACATATATAATTTTATAGTTTACTATGATATACTGTAATGACGCCGGGTGGCTGGACTTCAGGGTTTGGGGCTTAGGGCTCGGCACTTGCTCCGTCCTCGAAGCTTCTTGAAGCATCAGGGACATGGCACATCTCATAGATTACTTCTACTTCAAGCCTGATGATACGCTACATACCCACACCCTCCGAGTGCCTGAAACTCTGATCCCCATGCCCGGGTCCTAGTGTTGCTTTAGCCCTATGGGTCCTTTCGGATGTACTTCGCCATTGTCCTCGAGATGTTGTTACCTGGGCTTTTAAGTAACCAGGGAGAAAAAAGTACAAACTTGTTATTTCATAATGGTTCCTTTAAGAAAAAGTATTAAAGTATGGTACTCCAAAGCCCAGTTACCCAGATGTGGATCGAGCTCGCTCGTCCACTCGTCGAACACTGACGGCTTGGTAGGGAAGGTCTTGCGCCTGAAAGCCGGAGACTGTTCTGATACCCCATAATAATGTAATAAGGAGCCCCCAAAATTTTATTGGCATTTTTTAAAGATGCCTTACCTTTAAGGGGACCTTTCAACGGTGTAAGAGCTGCCATGTGTAATTATAGTCTAGTCTTAAACAAATCTTGCTGCAGGACGGTGCCGGGGCGCTCCAACAAACGTCTGGCTGTCGCCGCTCGGTACTGCTCGCCTGAACCAGCGAGTGATACACGTGTAACTTCTTACGGCTTCAGGTGAAGGCTGCTGGGCTCAGATCTCAGTATTCGGGGTGTAACAAGCAAGATAACCCTACAAAAACGTTCCGGGATCCCAGATTCGAAGAACGAAACCAATCCTGTCACAGCCGCTGAAAACTTACTTTAACCAAAGAACTCGAAGCCACAACACTTACGCCCCAGACCCATAAGCCACGACCTTCTACCCTCTAATCCCATGCCCGACTCAATACACTCCAACAATGTAGCAGAATAACACATGTGTGTATGCATACACAGAATGAATATATATCTTGTTTTTATAGACATCATATATATATATATATATGTGTGTATGTATTTAGTTATTTGTATTTATATGTATATGTATATATATATATATAGAGGCATGTGTATACATTAACGTTGACTGTTACAAGTAGCAAGCCCTCATGAAGCCATATAAGCCCTTGGTAAAACGTCTATACAGCCATCTACGCCGGAAAAGCAGGCAGTGCCATGTACAATGCGAACCCTAAGGATCCAACGTAGCTGATAGTCGGAGTTTCGGATTTTTCTGGATAGTATCCGACGATAGAGATGCAAGTTAGCGTTTGGGGGGCACATGACTACCAGAGAGTCTACTCCTCCTGATTTCATTTTAGAATAATCCTTAATTCAGACTCGTTAGCCCTCTATGGACGTTCCTTGGCTAGGGGTACTGGGCTTTCCGGGTTCCTAATGCCTGTACGCTTTGGGGTTGTGGGCTTTAGGGTTTTTAGAGTTTCGGGTTTAGGGTACAAGTTATGCATAAGCCCAACATCCCACACCACATGAACTTCTAGGATACCCAGTAACCTAAGAATAAAAAGGCCTCTCTTTTTGGTATCGGGTAACTTTATAAGGAACCTAGGACTACAAAAAGGGAATAAGGGTACTACTGGGCATCCTAGCTGTACGGAACACGCTGATCGGCCCTTTCGACCGGCCGGCCTCGGCTGAGGCTGGCGAAGGTCTTCAAATGGGACCGGACCTCCGCTATAGGGGCCTCACTAATTAGAATAGGGTTTTGGGGCTTACTATTGTACTACAATTATAGTAAGGACTCCCCAAAATAGAATAGGTAGTTCTTAAAGCCCCTATAGTAGGGGTTAAGGTTTGGGGTTGAATTTGTCAGGTCTCCAACGCTGAACCCTCAATCCTGAACCCTCAACCCTAAACACCGGCCGGCTTAATGAATTAGTGCTAGCATTGGGGCTGCAGGTTTTGTCCCCTTTACATTAACTCTAAACCCTAAGACTTTGGGTCTCGTAAGGCTGGGTGCTTAGGGCTTAAGACTTCGGGCTTACAGCTTCTGGCTTAGAGTTTCGGGCTTAGGGATCAGGGCTTGCAGTCTAGGGCTTAGGGTTTAGAGTCCAGAGTTGAGGGCCTGACAAGAATCGCATTAGGCGAAGGTGCCCGGGACGGGTCGATCAAGTAAGTTGGAATCAAGCAATGTGGGCTTGGGGCTTGAGGTATACGAAACTTGCAAAGACTCTCTTCTTTTTTCTGTAGGACAGTAGGTGTGTACTGGGGTTTAAGGAATCAGACCCCCATCCCTCGAAACAGGATCAGCTGTGTCAGATGGCTCAGGGACCCTTGGATGCTGTGGTTGAGGGAATCCACCGGCTGCATATCTGCGCAAAAAACGTCCTAGACCACCACACTCTAAGCAGAAAAGCAGCCAAGCACAGCCAGAAACCGTGCGAAAAGCCCTTAATATAACTAAACCAAGAGCGAAACCCTAAATAATCTGAAGCTAATTTGTACTGCTGTCGAGCATCTGCACTTAGGCCGGCAGCACCCAGGGACTTTTGTCCTGCTTCTGCATCGGGGAAGCTGTCGATAATCGCCTGCAGCTCAGCCTACATCATTAACCCTAAACCCTAAACCCTGAACCCTAAATGTCATCGGGGTTTGGTGTTTGCATAGGAGTTTCGGGCTGAGGGGGTGAGGATGGTTCAGGGTTTTGGGTTTATATAGGGCTTTGGGGTCTGAGTTCGCCCTAAGGAAACATCCAATAATCAGAAACTCCCCAGAACATGGCACTACACTAGCCCGAAGGATTTAGAGTCTGCTCATCTGTCCGTCTACTGATAACAACTTACCTATCGGGTTTCCACCTTTCATTCTAACTAAGCCGCGACCTGATTCTTTGACCGTCACACACACCGTAACACGACCCCTCTGAAACCGACTGTCAACCTTGAGCCCCATCCCCTACCTAGAGTCTCCATTGTAGTTCCCTTTTTTGGTTAACCAGTTTAGGGTTAGGATCCTATATCGAGATTTTGGTTACCCCAAGAAAGGAACTACAATGGGGACTCTAGCTAAACCCTAAACCCACAACCCCAGATCCCAAACCGCGAATCCTAAACCTGACCCTATCAGCGAGGCCAGAGGCTCCAACTGCCATACTCCCCTCTCGTCATTCCCTTAAGTCTTGAACCCCTATATCCAAAAACCTGGGCCGACTGGGGTTTCGGACTTGCTTGGGACTTTTGGGCTTAGGGTTTGGGGTTTCAGGTTCAGTCTTGAACCGTCAAGTAGGTCCACCAATCCTCCTCCCTTTCACAATCGCCGTTTACAGAGTGGGCAGGAGCGCCTTGGATCCTCAGTAGCACGATGCTTACCCAGAGCCTCCAAAACCCCTTAATTAAGGAATAGACCTTAAATTATAGTAGGATCCCTAACATGATTTAAGGTAGAGTCCGTAATTAAGGGGTTTTGGAGGCTCTGGGTACTTGTTACCGCTCGTTATGTTGATCAAAGCATATTGGTCTTTCAAAGCCCTGTGAAAATCATTGAAGAACCTACCTTAAAACTCTTGGCCGATAAAGTATAAAGGACTTAGATAATTACCTATACTATTTTGGGGTCCCTCCTGATAAAATATGGCATAATGGACCCCAACACCACATTCTAATTATTCAGGCCCCTATATTACCTCCTGGCCCTGCATAGAGGGGGCACCTTTTCGATGTCTTTAGCAAGTCTGCATTCTTTGAACTAGAGCGCTGCACCAATTCCTAGACCCCAAACCTCTTTTTCGCTCCGGGGTTCTGAAATCTAGGGCTTCGAAGGCTACAGGGATTCGGATTTTAGGGTGTAGGCTTTAGGGTTTAGGGTTGTGCTGTCTTCTGCTGTAAGGCTTGCAATTTGGGGGGGGTTCAGGAGTTGGGCGCGACATGCGTGAAGCCGTAACAACTTTGCAAAACGCATTTAGAGTATAGGGGGCCTTCACAACTGAAGAGGGTTTTGCTTTTGGGGCATGTAGCTTTATCATTGTGCTAAGGCGCCCCAAGGAATAAGGTTACTAAATATGTTCCGACTGCTATACCCCGGCGCAGCTGGCCACTTATACAGAGTTCAAACAAAAGAGGGCTGAGTGTGATCTAAGCATAGCTCCAACCAATCTGAATCTAACCTGAAACCTCAAACCCTAAAGCCCTGCAGCCCTCAAGCCCTAAAACCTTTCGCCCTAAAGCCCTCAAGCCCTCGATCCTAAACCCCTACAACCCCGAACCCTGAAACCCTAACCCTAAACCCTGAACCCAATACCCGAAACCCTTAACCCAAGCCTTCAAGATTCAATAGCCCTAAATCCTAAAACCCTGAACCCTAGACCCCAACCCTATAGCCCTAAACCCTAACCCTATAGCCCCGAACCCCAAACCCTAAACCGTATAGCCCTGGCCCTAAAGCACTAGACCGAAAGATTGGAATCCGTATAACAAGGATCCTACTATTTAGGGTACCGTATTAGGGGTCCCCTATTTTCGGAAACTCCCAAATGAACCCTTATAGAGCCCTTTAAAGGAACCCTTATAGCACCCTGATAGTAGGCCCCTTTAAAGGAACCCTTATAGAACCCTGATAGTGATAGTAGCCCCCTTTAAAGGAATCCGTATAGTACCAAGTGCATCGCCGGAGCCTGCCCCTCGGGCCAGGTACTGGTCGGATACTGCTCAACATCCTCAGTTGGGAGTTTCCGAAAAGAGGAGACCCTAAAGGTTCCTTTAAAGGGGGCTACTATCAGGATACTATAAGGGTTCCCTTAAAGGGCTCTATAAGGGTTCATTTGGGAGTTTCCGAAAATAGGGGAATATGGTACCCTAAATACTAGGATCCTTGTTATAAGGACTCCAAACTAATGTAGCCCTAATTTTCGGAAACTCCCATTTAAGGTTTGGGGCTTAAGGGGCCCCAAACCCTAAACTCTAAGCCCCTAAATAAGGTTTTCAATGTAAAGGCGCGGAGGATCCTACTTGTCGGGTATCATGGGAAACTAAAGGTTAACCTTTTGGTTATATAGGGAGTATACAGGGACTACACTACCCCAAACAGGTTAAAGGTTACCTACTCTACTACTAGGGGATTGTAACCTCGGCTCTCAGGTCTGGCGGGGCAGAAGCCCCGCCAAGGGTTGATGTAGCACTCAGGGCTTAAAATAGTGTGGCCTGGAAGATAGGAACCCTACAACCTGGCCCTAAACCCTAAACCGGCTTCGGGCTCAGGGCTTATAGGGCTTGGGAATTCGAGTCCTGGAGCTGACGCCCTATTGTAGGAGCCAATAATTAGAATAGGGTTCTGGGGCCCGTTGTACTATAACCATAATAAGGAACCCCCCAAAACAGCATTGGTAGTTGTTTAGGCTCCTAAAATACAGCATGATAATCTTTACTAGCTGGGCCTGTGGTGCGGGCTCAAAAGGTACAGGGTGTGGGCTTTAGGGTTTAAGGTTTAGGGTTCAGGGTTGAGTTTCAAGTCTTCCAACCCTAGAACTTCAACCCTCAATCCCAAACCCTAAAGGCACAACTTGGAGTTGAATTGGCATGCTGGCAGTTGCAGTCGTAAGTGCTGTCTCAGGAAATCCATGCACCATTCTCTGCTTTTCGACCCATCTACCCACCTGCGTACACATCATATCTCTGTATGCAACTTATACAATCTCTAATCTGCATCTCTTGCCAATTGCTCCGAGCCGCAGACAACCCAAAGCGCTCCTGCAAGATTCGTTGCAGCATCGTCGACTTGCCAGATCCTTCAGTAGCAGAGGTTTGAGCCGGGAATTCGATGTTGCAGTTCAGATCTTAGAGCCTAAAACATCCTAAACCCTAAACCCCTTTACTAGACTGGTAAGATCCTAAAGCTTGGGGCACCGCCCTTGAATGAGGGGGAACGGTGTAAGGTTCGGCCGTAGCATCGGCTTGGGGGCTTTGTGGGCATAGGGGTTTTGTCTTGAAGCTTCAATGGCGTGTGCTTGCTTTGTCTGGTCTTGCCTTGCAACAGAAATTTGCATTCCACCTGACCTCCGACGACTACTACTACGACCACAACAAATTGTTACTACGACTGCTGCTACTACTACTACTACTACTACTACTACTACTACTACTACTACTACTACTACGACTACGACTACGACTACGACTACTACGACTACGACTACGACTACGACTACGACTACTACTACGCCTACGACTACGACTACTACGACGACGACTACGACTACTACGACGACGACGACGACTACTACTACTACTGCTACTCTACTGCTACTGCTCCTGCTACTAGTCGAAGAACACTCGCTTTATGATCAATTAGGGCCGAAGTCAGGGCCATATTGACAAGACGAAAAAGCGAAAGTCAAGGCCCGAGGCAAAGTCCTGACTTCCCCAGGATCAGCAAGCTCCGGAAGGTCTCTGGCAGCCTCTAGCTAGGGTTTAGGGTGTAGGGATCTGCTGTGGCTTTCTTTGGGGTTTAAGCGGTTGGGGTCAGTTGCCTCAACTACTCCCAGTCCATAGATGGTGCATTGAGAGGCACGCAGTGTAAGACAAGTAAGACAAGCCCTTCAGCATCCTTGAATCGTCGGAGCCCACATATCACTATAGCTCAGGGGAAATCGTGCCCCGGTTTGGAGATTGGAGTCCTCTTACACATGTAGGTCGCCAGCGTGATCTGCGATTGTGGTTGAAGTTTGGGAGTTGCCTCGACGCTCGAGGTGATGTATGAGCCTAAACCCAAAGCCTTGAACCGCGCGGACCGTAAGTCTTAAATCCGCAACCTGTCGTTCTGACCATCGGGCAGATCGAGGTGTTTTGTCACCTCCTCCAACTCTTTGAGCTTGCATACCTACGTATTGCTGCTTCCATTGCTTTGTAAAATGCTAAACGACGAGGAGGGAGAAGATGATGATGCTGATGGTGCCGGGGATAAGGTTGTTTGGTGCTTTGGCCTCGTTCCCTTCGTCGGTTCCTTACTTCGTATGCGTTGTGGAGGCTTTCGCGTCCCGAACAAATGTGAGGAAACGAGGCCAACCTACGAGGAGGCCCAGGTGAGAACCACCAGCATCTCTGCTCCCTCCCTCGCGACCTGGTGCACGGGTCAATCCACGAGATATATCACCAATATCCTAACCATGGAGCCTAAATCCACAAATCCTATGCCTCCGCCAAACTCTGGCACATGCCTGCAATTCCAAACAGCACCCATCCCTGCAACTCGACGTGCTAAGCCAGCGCCATGAACGACCAACGTAAGCCACAAAACATGCAAACTTGCTTATCCCCGAGAGCATTCAGAACATACCCAAACCCGCCATCAACCCAGTTCGAGGGATAGAGCTCAAGAAGCTCACAATAAACTGCGAACCGCGTGGCTGCTCGGGAACACAGCATTTGGGTGGTCCGTTGGATGCAATGGCGTCTGTCTGCGCAGCCAACAGAGTCTCCTTTTCAATCGATTTCGGATGTTCCAAGGGTAAACGGAGGGACCCTTAATAAGGACCCCTAGGCATATACCCTTGATATAGCTATTATATACCCATTATATAGCCCACTATAGGGTATAGATGTCCCCCTTAAGGGTCCTTCCTTTTCCCCGAGCACACTTCCGGATGTTCATTCACATAGCATGGTACATACCATTAGCGAAAACACGATCCTAAGGTGACAACACAATTATGAAAATCAGCTCCATCCTGAATACTTAGCTAGAGTCTAGAGTCTGGACTTGACACGATTCGCAATGAAGGCCTCAGGGCATTGCGATTGGGAGAAGTCCAGGGTAAACAGTTGGGGTATCGGCCTTCTGCTATTGTACTTCCGGCCAAACACTGTTCAAGCCAAGCACGCGCCGAAGCCCAACGCCAAGGTTAAAAGAGGTTTAGAAACCATTCTGATGAGTTAACCTAAACCCTATAAACCCTTAACCGAATCCTGAAACCCTGAACCCTGACACCTAAGGGTTCACAGGACCTGGTAATCAGGTACTTGGGTTTATGATAGCCGTTTTGAAGGTTAGTATTTGGGAGAGTATATGCTTACTTGGTACTTGGGCCCTTGGGTGCTGAAGCACACCAGCAGCACTACACCGTCGGCCCCGAGCCCACTCCTGATCATCAGACACCCTGACATAAACCCCCAACCCTCAACCCTGAACCAAAGCCAAAAACAATAACTTCAATCCCATAAACCCTCAAGTAAAGCCAACAACGCTAAACTGATAAGTTCCATCAGCCCCGAAGCAACAATCCCAGAGACTCCAAAACCCCTTAATTAAGGAATATACCTTAAATCATATAAGGGATCCTAGTATAATTTAAGGTATCTTCCTTAATTAAGGGGTTTTGGAGGCTCTGGGATGGAAACCTAAACCCTGCAGCACCCAACCCAGGGCCTGGACGATTCGAGCCGGACTTGCCGGCGCATCGGCATCGTTCATGTCCCGAACATCCGCGTCGGCTGGTAGCAAATCCCGGCATCTGGGACTCCGCTCTACTTTTGGGATTGAGCTTTGAGGGCTGTGGAATTTACGTTCATGGCTTCTCGTTCCGCATTTTAGTCGCTGGCCCAAAGAAAATCTCAAATTTGACTACCGTGTCACTCTACGCAGATGCTGCAGGGGCCTGCGGGGCTGTAGGGTTTACCCATGGGCCCCCATAGTAGTTCCTTTTTGGGGTTCATATTTAGAACCCTGTAAGGTAATCCCCAAAAGGAACTACTATGGGGCCTATGGGTAGTTTAGGATTTACTCTTCGAGGTTCCGGGGCCTGGAAGTGAATCGTTGTAGGTATCAGTTCTCAACTTAAACCAAAGGGGAAAAGGAGGGACCCTTAATGGGGATCCCTACCCTATAATGGGTATATAATAGCTTTATTAAGGGTATATACCTAGGGGTCCTTATTTAGGGTCCCTGCTTTTTCCCTTGGATTTTAAATCTACATTGATGGGTTTTTTCTCGCCATCATTGTGGGCATTACCACTTCTGGAGCCGTCCTTCCTGGTTCTACTGGTGATACCGTCGTTGCTAACCATGCCTCTTGCTGGTCAACCCACATCGTATAGACACGTGTCTATATGTGTATATGTAAAATGTATGCCCATATGTATGTATACCTACTTGTCGTATGTCATGGGGAACTAAAAGTTGACCTTTCTGGTTATATAGGGATTATATAGATATAGGGATTGTATAGGGACCATACTATGTATAGGGACCATACTACCCAAAAAAGGTTAAAGGATACCTACTCTACTACTAGGTCTATATATGTATATGTGCACACATGTCAGCTTTCAGTGCAAGAGCAACTGTTTCCAACATTGCTACACAGCCGCCTAAGGCCGCATGGTGAGAGTTATACGAGCCCTACTGTATTGGTTTCTGGATGTCGCAGTTTAGTCCTTTGGGCCATGCAAACAAAGCCCAAAGCCTTTAACACCACTCCCAACTACTACAACCCACCACATCTCAGGACTCAGATGGCCCTACATCAATACCCTTGCCCCATAGCCCGCCAACAAAAACCCAAGCTGCGCCTTGGTACTGGTTCTCGAAGGTACACCAAAGCTTGTTGACCGCCGACTTGGCTTCCCTGGACAAGCTCAAGATATGGTCAGGGAGCTGGTTTTAAACTTCAGCTGTTAGTGCTTCCATCTTTGAGGGGGAAAATAAGGGAGGGAGTCAGGGACTTAGGGTTTAGAACATAGGCCAAATCTCGACCCCGGCTTCGGGGTTTAGGGTCTAGGATCTAAGGGCCCGGACAACAATCCCACACCCGTGAAACTCCGAAACCTCTAGCGACAGCATCCAGGCTTGGTTCGGGGTTCCTTTATCCGTGGTTTCCGGCTTCAGGTTTAGGATTAGGGTGCGTGCAGCTCACGAACAATACGTCAGTCAAGGCCAACTCCAAACATGCCCAAACAATGCCGCAGCCAAGCTCCGAAGTTCTCAGAGCCGTCCGAAAACTAAGACAGACTCAACAAAGATGGGTAGTTCTTGTGATAGGATCTTGAGGTACCGTATGTCATGGGATCCCTTTACAAGGGCTGTATGTAACGCTATATTGTTACTTCCTGGCTGCTTGGACTCCCTTGTTGATCTACGGAATCTACGGGTAACTTGTCTCAGGGTCCTTATGCCAAGAACTCTACATCGAACCGCTAAGGGTCCAAGTATCGAAATCTCACATACTACCCCACATACTGAAACCTACGAAACTACTATCACAAACCCACACACCTAGTTGTCAGGTCCTTTAGATCCTTAAAACCCCTATACAACCGCTACAACCCTCATAGAACCCTTGTAGGAAGCCTTCAGCTCTGACTATCAGGTCCTTTGGAGACTCCAGCCCCCAAACCCTAAACTCCCAAAGCCCTATAAGTCCTAAACCCCTAAACCCTATAAAGAGGCTCAAAGCTCCGGGCTTGCAGGGCTCCGGAAGGCTCCATGCACCTATAGAGTACATACTTGGCCTGAAAGCACCAATAGAGGAGCCCCTTTAAGGCCAAAGATACACACTAGGCCTTAAAATACCCAAAGAGTAACCCCTTTGATACGAAGGTATTAACTACTATATGACTACAGTGGAGCCCGAAACCCTAAACCCGAAAGAACCCTCATCGAACTAATTCATGCAGAACCCTCACGGTACCCGAAAGGAACCCTTACAAGGGGCACATGGCGCCTTTGCAGGGGTTTTGGGTTCTTGCAGGAGCCTTGTCGACACGCTGGCGTTTCATGGGGACCGGACCCGTTCCCGCACGACCGCGGCGCTTCCTGCAGAGCAGGCGTGATGATGGAACGAAGGGTCTTCGGGAGTAGCAAACTTTAGGTCTATCATGGTCTGTCCATGTCTATCACTGAACCCCAAACCCCATAACTCTAAACCCTCTAAACCCTACACAGTAACCATACGCCCCATGCCCTGAAAGTTAAACCCCAAGCCCGAAAGGGCTGGAACCCAATTGGGGGCGCGGCTTGGGTCCTCAAGTTGCGATGGAGTCAATAAGGCCTTCATGGTCGGGCTGGGGGGTTTGTGCTGGACATAGGATGCCTCAAACCCTCAGGGTTTACCTGGACCCTGGTAAACCCTGCCTTCTTAAGGTTCCTTATACTGATTTCCTTATAAGAGTCCTCAAAAGGGCGGGATATTCGGGGTGAAGGTAGGCTTTAAGGACATTGCTTTAGTTGACTTGTCTGCCTGCAGGGTTGACGGATGGCGGCTTGGTCTTTATGGGCCAACCCGGCCCCAAACTGCAAATGGTGCAGTTGTTCGAAGCAACTGAAGCAATATCACGTGGTAGAGTGCGTAGCAGTGGTTCCCCAAGCCGAAAACCCCGAAAACATCGCACAACTCTGAAGCCCTATCCAAAAAGACAGAACATGGCACAACGAAAACCAACAGCGAGCAAACCTCAAGCCTTCTCGAAGCCTCACAAGCACAACTAAATACCCTTTCAGCACCGCAAACCCTAAACCTTAAATAGCGCTTGGGAGTATATTATATATATATATATATATATATATATGCTCACGCCCCCCCTCCATGATCCACCCGAACCTGCTTCTTGCAAACAGTGGATCATGGGAGGTAGGCAACTCGGATGCGAAAACCTCGCTATGCTCCAATTACCCCAAAATCTGCAAAGGCGGAAGTGCGAAAACCTCGCTATGCTCCAATTTCCCCAAAATCCCCCAACTCTGGGCAAGTATGGCCCCGCACGCCTCATAGATGCCGGGATTTTGGGGATTTTGGGGAAATTGGAGCATAGCGAGGTTTTGGCACTTCCAGCCTCACAAACTTTGGGGAAATTGGAGCATAGCGAGGTTTTGGCAACTTCGGATGCGAAAACCTCGCTATGCTCCAATTTCCCCAAAACTTGCAAAGGCGGAAGCGCGAAAACCTCGCTATGCTCCAATTTCCCCCAAATCCCCAAACTCTGGGCAACTATGGCCCCACACGCCTCATAGATGCCGGGATTTTAAGGAATTTGGGGAAATTGGAGCATAGCGAGGTTTTGGCACTTCCAGCCTCACAAACTTTGGGGAAATTGGAGCATAGCGAGGTTTTGGCAACTTCGGATGCGAAAACCTCGCTATGCTCCAATTGCCACAAAATTCATGCAGCTGAACTCTGACGGCCTCCATAGATGCCAGGATTTTGGGGATTTTGAGGAAATGGGAGCATAGCGAGGTTTTGGCGCTTTCAGCCTCACAAACTTTGGGGAAATTGGTGCATGGCGATGTTTAGCGAAACAAGTTATATACAATAAATATTGGCCACTATAGTAGTTTTATAAGACATATATAAGTATATCTAAATGAGACATGTGTATGCGCATGTTCGTTGAACTGTACATCATGCTCAGATACCGTCGAGTTCTTGTTTCTGCATCGAGGTAAGGTCTTGCTAACCGTTTAAATTCTTGCCTGTTGCTTGAACAAGGAGAAGTATTTCTTGTATTTTATACTGCCTGACAAACTAAAGAAGCTGACAAGCTCCGATCTTTCGTATCAATACCCATAAAGTTAGTTCCCCGGTGTGCTGCATTGCCTTATTACTTTTGGGGTTCCCTTATACAAAATGAATACCAGGACCATTCAGAACTGGCGGTATCAACTCTTCTCTCGTGGAGCAAAATCATAACCGAGTCAAGGTCAGCCTTGCTCAAGAGGTAAGTCCAGTGTTTTATTGCTTTTCCTTAAAGCATACTTAATGAGAAAAGATGTGTTTGCACCTTTCTCGGAAGCCAGGAGTAGAGGTCTGGAGCTGCTTCATGCTGTATTGAAAGATGGCAGGAGCTATATCACTTGTGCGAGTAGCGCGGTGCAACGGAGCTCGATTACATTCATGTTATGAGCCAGGATTGTCTTGCATTTTTTAATAAGAAAACAGCAGCGTGTTGAGAAGAACAACAAATGTTGTCCAGATACATGCTTGTGTTGACTCCCACGAAGTATAAAGAGTAAGAAGCTCGACATGCTCTACTTGTGACCGAATGTATTTGGAGTTTTGCGCGGAGGTAGGGTTGCGTATTGGGCTCACTATTTTACTTCACGCTTGAAAGAGGGCTGCGGAAGTTCAGGCTCAAGCACACTTGGCTCAAACCCTCTTCTCTCTACACTACAGCTACACTCTAGCCTAAAGCTACTGTAGCCTACAAAAATCTCGCACCCCCCTTAGAGGTAGGGGTTTGAGAACGCGCCTCCCGCGGGGCATCCCGCAGTCGGAGGGTGAGACGCCCCTGGTAGGGCGGAGCGTCCCGCGCACAGGGCTGGCAGCCGAAAGGCTCGCCCTGCGGTGCTACCCGCTAGGGGCCCCTTAGGGTGGAGGCACCCACTGGCGGGAGTTGTTCACCGCACTGCCGGGCTTGGTGCTCTGGTGCCCGTTGCGGCAGTGGAGACACACCCTGTGTCTGATTGTTGCCCCTTCCATGAATGGGCAACCTCGCTGTTGGCCGTGGTATCGGCGCACAACGCGGCCGGTGGCCACTTGAAAGGCGAACCCGGTCCAAAGGAACTCGGAGTTCTGAGGATCTGCTGCGCAATGGCAGCGAAAGCCGATCAGGATTTGATCCGGCGGGACGGAGCTCAGCCCATTGCAGTTGGTGAAAAGATGGATCTTGTCACCGCGGGCTGTCTCGTAGAGATGCTCGTCGTCCCCCGAAAGGGGTTCCGGTCCCCTACGCCTGCGCCGCACTCTAGGTGCAGCGGGCGGCGGTGGTGGAGGAGCTGCCGCAGGGGGCGGACCTGGAGTCCGCTCACCCTCAGGTTCTGGCTCCTGAGCCCCCCTAGGCTGTTGCTCCCTCCTTTCCTCTTGCGCCTCTTGCGGCGCTTCTGGCCCTAGCCAGACCTCCGTGGCCCTTTGGGCTGCACGCGGCGGCTCTTCGGCACGCTCGGCGTGGTGCTCGATCTCATCCTCGGGCTCCGGCTCCTGCCTGTCACGTCTGCACCTGCAGAGCCAGGAGACCAAACCCCAAAGCATCCACAGGAAGGCCAGGAAGCCTAGGGCCGCGAAGCCGAGCACCAGCTCTGCGAAGTCGTGCCCTTGGGCCTTGGCAGGTCGAACCTGCAACGCCACGATTGTGGCCATGAGCGCCGAGCTTGCAAGCTTGGTCGGCGGTCTCATCTTCCAGGGGCTAGTCTGGATCGTCTTGATCGTGCCCTTTTGGGCCAGAGCCTCGGTGGCGCCTGCGACCGCATCGAGGTCCACCATGCCCATGGAGGGCAGGGATTGCCGCACCTCCGGTCCAGTCTTCGCGTGCTTGGTAGCGAAGTTTGCCGGGTTTTCGGTTCCCTTAACTTTTCTCAGTTCGAGAAGTTTGGCTCTGAGCGCGCCTTGGACAAAGAATTCCGCGACTTCCAGGTGTCTCAACTTGGACCCTGGGCCTATTCGCTTGGCGGCTCCGATCGAAGCTGCGGAGTCTGCCCAGAGCCGCGGCACGCCGCAGGCTAGGGCAAAGTCCTTCTCCGCAAGCTCTCGTAGGAAGACAGCCTCCCTTGCTGCTCTTGACACTCCCCGGATCTCCGCGTCTCCGCTGGAGGTGGCTGGGAGGCCAGGCTGTGTCTGGCAGCTTGTCTGGATGACTGCTCCCCCGAGACAGGCAACTATGTTGTCTGTGCTCCTTCTCGTTTCTGGGCACCCTGCCCAGTCGGAGTCGGAGTAGACCTCCAAGTTCAGAAGGGCTGTGCTCTTGGACGCGGGGTCCAGCACAACTACCCTTCCAAACCGCGGGGTTGCCCGCAGGTATCGCGCGAGGGTTTCCGCAGCGAGCCAGTCGCAGACCCTGGGGTTCTGCATTCTTCGCGCCAGCTCTTTCACGGCGAACTGTATGTCTCGCCTGTCCGCCGATAGGTAGATAGCGCTACCCACGGCGCTGCGGAACCTCGCGGCGTCACCCGCAGAGAGCTCCTCGACCTTGGTCAGGTCTAGAGGTTTGCTAGGCACGGTCCCCTTGTCTTTTGGACCGATGCCCAGCTGCTCGCACACATTCTCTGCGTGCTTGTTGTCGGGCAGCGTGAGGATAGAGTCCTCTGTGCGCACCTTGGTCCTTCCCAGGACCTCCACCGCTGTGCCCGGCTCTTCCAGTTCTCCCACCGTTATCTCACAGTGCGTCGGGAGGTCCACCTCCGTGAACTTGAGCACTGCGGCCTTGGGGCCTGCGACACGGATGTCGTCGATATGGTGGAGAAGGATCAGGCCGGACCGGCGGTCTAGGTACACGCACGGGTCCTTCACGCCACGCTGGAAGTCGTAGTCCTTGGCCAGCTTGCCAGTGAGGACTTCTTCCAGCTCGTCCCTGTAGACGGAACCAGCCGTTCTTCGGCCGTAAAGGTTGCCGTCCACCCGAAACACAAAGTCCCGGAAGTGGTCTCGGTACCACTGCTGGTCCTTTGCAGGCTGCTCCAAGACCCATTGGTCAAAGAGCTCGCGCCACTCCACAGGCGCATGCATGTAGACCGGGCGGCCTTCCGCCGCACCGCGGTCCTTCCCTATGAGGAAGGCGGCCACAATATCCAGAGACCTTGTGACCCACCCCTCGTTGTGTAGCGCTGCTACCTCAAGTAGGGAGTGACTCTCGGGCGTTGGCGTTGGGACGAAAACGTCCAAGCCAGCTTCCTGTTCTGGGCTGTAGCGTGCCTTGACGTCGGCACAGGTACACCTTGACTTGTACCGCCCTTTGTCGCACTTGTCGACCCACTTTGCCCTGAACAGCTGCGCCCCGCGCGGTACTTCAGACCGCAGCACAGGCGTGAAAGCGCCTCGGTCCCACAGCTTTCTTAGCTGCTCCTTGCGTGCCTGCTCGACCTGCTTGGGGTCGAGCATTCGGTCTAGCAGGTCTGTCACCTGCCCAACCCACGCGTCCCGCTCGCCCTTGTGGTTGGTGAGCGGCGGGTCGGCTAAGGCAGCGATGTGCTGCCACACCTCGCGCTCTGTGAGCGCTCCTAGCCGCGGTGCCTTCTTGGGCTCCACCCGGCTCTTTGCTGCAGGCGGCTGCTGTGCTGCCGCTGCGCTCGCGGAGGAACCCGCAGAGTCGCGCTTCTGCCCCCCTTCGCCTGAGCCGTCGTTGGCGGCTGGGGCGGGGTTTGCCGCTTGTTGCGGCAGCGCGCTTGCTGCGGAAGGTCCTGCCTCCACGTCGGACGGCTCGTAGTCCGGTATTTCTGCGTTGGCCAGCTCCTCGGTAGGGCTGGCGTCCGGGAGCCTGCTGGCCTGCTCTGCCCCTTCGACTAAGAGGGCCTCGTCGTCGGGCCGCGGCCCGTCGCTGAAGAGCCAGGGCTCACCGGGCGGTTCTAGCCGCTCCGTTTCTTCGGCCGGCGTGGCCAGAGGGATTGGAACCATCATCGGCTCGCTGCGCTCTGCTGGCGCTGAGCGGCCAAATCTAGGGTTCCAAGGCAGGCCGCACGCTTTAAGAACAGCTGCCGTCTGGTGTCGGGTCTCCGGCGGGAGTCGCCTGACGCTCCTCACGTTGAGTGCGCCCGCTTCGGTTAGCACCACGTGGGAGTCGTCGCGCTCCAGCTTGCCGGCCCAGACCCCTTTGACCCAGCGCACCTGCGCTTTGTTCCCGGGCCTCGGGAGCTTAGCCAGCACAGTTTCTCCAAAGGAGCAAAGTGCTCCACCATAGTCGGTGCCAGTGGCTGCCCGATATGGTGTCACCCCGTCCGTCGACTTGGTCCCAAACCGGGCTTGCAGCCAGGCCACGTGCCTGACCAGCCACGGGAACAGGTTGGACGAAGTGTCCCACTCTAAGGCGGGGTAGTCCGCTCTCAGCTGCGAAAGCCAAGTGCGAACCTCGCCTGCTAGGTGTGCGTTCCTTCCCTCCACGGATCCTTGGCTTTGGTGTGACCCGCGAGGGGCGTCCCGAAGACGCACCCTAGCAGCTCCCAGCCGGCGGTGAACCGCACGGGCCACAGAGGCTATGGCGTTCTCTTGGTCGGCCTGCAGGGTGAACTTGTCGTACCCCAGGCGGTCCACGAACTGCTCCACAAGCCCTGCGGCGTAAGCCGCGTGTCTGTGCCCTTTGTGCGCCACGGGAGCTGACAGAGTCCAGCCAGTGGCCCTGTCTGTGAGGTTCAGCACCGTGGCAAGCGATGCTTCTTCCTCAACTTCTTTCCCGTCCCGGCTGTAGAACTGATAATCCATGGTGACAAGCGGCGTCACCGGATCATCCGAGGGCTCACGGCGGCGGTGAGGGTCCTCGCGCGCCTTTCCCTCCACGCACTTCTCGCACCACGCCTGGTAGGGCGTGTGAGTGAGCTCGTGCTCGGCGCGTTCCTGCGCCGTGGGGTTGCGCGGTGCCCTTAGGCCGCGTGGCCTGGAGTCAGGCTGCTCGGCCTGCTCCTCTAGAGGGGCGGGGTTTCCCGCAGCCTCCTCCTCTTCAGCAGCTGCGGCCTCTTCGTCGGCTGCTGCTTCCATCGCCGCGTCCTCTACCTCTCGAGCTTCGAGGTCGTGCTCCGGGATGTACTCGTAGTGTCCCAGGTCCTTGCCTGGGTTTGGTGGTTCTGCCGCCACCGGTGCCACCCGGTTTGTTGACCCCGGCGGGAGCTCCCGCTCGTAGGGTAGGAGGAACTGTGACCCTCTCTTGAGGATCGAGGCTCGGACGCCGTCGGGCCACAAAATGTGGCTGTCCTCTCGGTGGAGCCAAATGCCCGCACCGGCCTCAACAGCACGGCTGATGCTGAGGATTTCGTCCTCTATGTCCTCGGTCACCTCAAAGTTGACCTTGCAGGACTGACGCTCCTCCCCTAAGAGGAGGCTCGGCTGGACACGGCCCTTGGTCTTCAGGCGGCTGTTGTCCACCGAGTAAAGGCTCTTTGGTGGGCCCGCAGGCTGCAGGTCGGGAAACGCCTCGGGCCTGCAGACGGACACACACGCCCCGGAGTCCACAAGAAGACTCCCCGACACCTTGAGGATTTTGTCCTCCTCTGGCTCGGTGTCGTGAGGCGGGGCAAACCGCACACCTAAGATGCGGTCGTCGCGCACCTGGCGCACCTGGCCTTTGCCGCCAGAGCCGCCGGTGCTTCCCCCAACTTGGGACGCGGAGGGACCCGCAGTCGCCAAGGAAGCTGTTGACACCGTCGTGGCCGCGTCGTCGGCCACTTGGGCCACCTGGCCCTTGGTGCCTTTGCCTTTTCCTTTGGCGTTGAACCAGCACTCTTTTACGGTGTGCCCCGTTTTCCAGCAGATGGGGCATCTCTCTTTGCCGTCTCTGCCTCCTTGCTGGTTCCCCTTTTTGTCCCCTTTTCCTTTGCCTTTGTTGTCGTGGTCGCCCTTGCCCTTTCTGTGGTCTTTGTCCCCTTTCTTGCCTTTGTCGCCTTTGCCCTTCCCTTCTTTTCCGTCTCGGTCCCCTATTCTGCCAATGTCCATGGCGTTAGGGTCCCTTCGGGAAGAGGCGGCGTAGCCCGCACTCGGGGTCCAGACCCTTTTGGCTTGCAAGTAGCTCACCACCACTTCCCTCACCTCGGCATAAGTCGAAAGACTCGCCGCGTGCATAGCGAGGTGTTGCCGAAGAGCGGTGGGGCTCTCGGTCACCAGCACTGCCCGCAGATCTTCGTCTGCTAGGGCGCGCCCTGCGCCATACTCGGAGGCGTAGCGGTCCACATCTGCCTCCCATTCCTGCAGAGCCAAGGAGAAGTCACTCTCCTTTGGCGGGAACTTCGGCATCAGCAGGGTCCGCCTCCAGGTGAGGTTCTTGGACTCGTTCTCTGGGTTGTGCTCCTGCCACAGGAGACGCCAGAGCTCGAACCCATTTTGGCCCTTCACTCCGCGCGCCAGCTTTACAGCTGTGGCGGAGTCCTGGGTCCAGCTGCCCAGCATGCCGAAGAGGCGGACGCTGAGGGTCCGCACTTCCTCGGTCATGGCTGCCACTTGGAGTGGCACCTTGCACTTTCGAGCTATTTCCAGCTCTGCTGGATACCTGGTGTCCACGACCGCCAGGTAAGACTCTGCCTGAAAGGCAAAGCGCTCCCAGTCGTCTCTCCCCTTAAGGGAAGTTGGGAGCCGCATGCTCTTGAGCAAGTGCCCTCCACCGCTCGCCTGCTGCGCAGGGGCGGGTGCCGCCGTGGCGGCTGCCGCCGTAGCGGCTGCTGCAGCTAGGCCCTGTTGTCTCTGGGCCGACAACTCGCCAATCGCAGCCTGCAGCTGCTGCGCTTGGCTCTCAAGCAACCCCCTAAGGGTTGCGACTTCCCCGCGCAGAGCCTCGACCACGGGGTCGCCCTGCGGGGGCGGATAAGCCGGCTGCTGGCTCATCTCTTGAGGCGTCGAAGATAGCCTGGCTGATCTCGTCTAGCAAGACCAGGGCTTCTCCGTACTGCTCTGCCAGCCTTGGGTTGCCTTCCCAAGGGGTCTCTGGCCTGTTGCGAGCCGCGTGCCTGAGTCCGTTCAGGAACTGGCACGGCCCTTGACCCTCGGAGCTCTCCTCTTCAGACTCCTCTTCCTCACCTTCGTCAGCCGGCGAGGTGGGCTCTAGCTCCTGCTCCGAAGCTTCCTCCCGAGGCGCGGGAGGTACCGCAGCCTCGGGCTCTGCTGGCCCTGGCTGTGCGGCCTTGGGTTCCTCCCTCAGTGGAGGCGGTGGTCCCAAGTGAGGCGGCGGCGCCTTCACCGTCGGTGCTTTGGCTGCCGGAGCACCTCTCGGTAGGGCCTTCGGCTCTGCCTCCGGGGTGGCCTCCGTGGGTCCACTCGCCGGGGCTGTTTGCTCCTGCCCAGCTTCGGAGCTGGGGCTTCCAGAGCTCTCTTCTTTTGCCTCGGCCTTCGGTTCGGCCTTAGGCTTTGCCTCCTCGGCTGGCTCTGCGGCCGCCTCTGCGGAGGCAGGCGGGGCAACCCGCTCTGCCGGCTCTTCCTTCTTGGCAGGGGTGACCCCGCTGGAGGAAGAAGCTGCAGCAGCAGCGGGCGGGGCTTCCCGCTCTCCTTCGGAGTTGCTTCCCCCGAAGTCTGGAGTGTCCTCACCAGGCACGGGGCCTGTGAAGACTGGCGCCTTGGGCACCGGCGCGGTGTCCAAGGAGGATTCCGAGCTCGGGCTCGGAATCTTCTGGCCGGCACCTGCAGGAGCTTCCTCCGGAGTGCGCGGCTCTGGGATATCAGTCCCCGGGCCCTCTACGAGGACGACCGGGTCTGTACCCTCTCTTTCGCGCCTTTCGGCGCCGCGGGCCTCGCGGTTGGCGCGGGCCGCTTGAGAACGACCACCTCGGTGGTTCTTCTTTTTCCCAGAACCCTGTTCAGGCTCTTGGGTCGCAGGCTTGCCCTTGCCGGACTTGCCTGCTGGAGCTGGCTTGCCCTTTGCGGGCTGCTCTGCTCCCTTTGCTTGGGCTGCCTTGCCCTTTGCGGGTTGCGCAGCTCCCTTGGCAGGCTTGCCCTTGGTGGGCTTCCCTGCTCCCTTTTCCCTGCGACGGGGGGTTCGGCTCCCCGACTCCGAGGCGGGGCGGCCCGCACTCGGGCCGGTTTTGCCTTTGCCCTTTTCGGGCTCGGCTGTTCTGCCCCGGTTTTGGTTCGGGGCTTCGGTGCGCTCGCCTATGAGAGGGCGGCGCGGTCGAGCTGGAGCTTCAGCGGCTCCGCTCCCCTTGGCACCTCCTGGTGCCTGACTGGAAGAGGCCTCCTCCTGCTGGGAGGTCCTCCAGTCCCACTGGGAACTCCAGTCGGAGTCCCAGTCCCACCAGCCCCACCACTCGGACGTGGCGGCTGGCGGGTGGCGGTTCGGCCCGCGCACCCTAGGAGCGTCGGGGCCTACCGAACCAGCTCCGCTACCATGCGCGGAGGTAGGGTTGCGTATTGGGCTCACTATTTTACTTCACGCTTGAAAGAGGGCTGCGGAAGTTCAGGCTCAAGCACACTTGGCTCAAACCCTCTTCTCTCTACACTACAGCTACACTCTAGCCTAAAGCTACTGTAGCCTACAAAAATCTCGCAAGTTTGGTGGAGAGAAACCATTTCTTTCCCTAATTCCCACGAAGTATAAAGCGTAAGAAGCGCGACATACTCCACTTGTGACCGAATGTATTTGGAGCTTGGTGGAGGGAGACCATTTCTTTCTCTAGTATTGGTATATTGCAAGAGCTCGTTGAGATCCAGCCACTAAGTTCCAGCGACTGATAAGGGGCTGAGGTGGTTTATTGTGTTTTTTACTGAGGAAACGTGATTCCTAATGAAAGAAAACAACACCACCTGAGAAAGAACAACTGAGCTTCCCTTGTCTTTTCGAGATTTGAAGATATGAAGTTGTCCTAGGTTCCCTTGAAGCATGAAGATACATGGAGGTTCCTTCCATGTCTTCTAAAGTGCCAGGCTTTGTCTTTTTATGGATAGATGGGCAAGACCTCTGTTTAGTGGTGTTGCTAGAAAGCCAAACATACCACTGGCATGTTTGTTTTCACTGAAGGAGTTGTCCTTACCGTTTATGCTATAAAGAGAAGAGAAGCTGTGTCTATTCAAATTGCACATCTTAAGTCGTTCGACAAACTCAGAATCCAGAACCAAAATTTGGTTTCGGTTCCGGCTTGTTTACCTGTGGTATACAAGAATAAAAAAGTCAGGTAGACATGTACATGCGGCAGCAGAACCAGAATCCAGACCAGAATCTGGTTTCGGTTTTGGCTTGTTTGTATATGATATAAAAGGCGAAAAGCAGCATCTGTACATGTACATCAACTACAGAAAACACCGTAAATACCGATAGATTCTGACTTTAGCAAGACGCATCTTGTACCAGAAGACAGTACAGGAGTAGTTGAGGAGAAGGCTGGGGTGGATCATGGGGGGGTGTGACCATATATATATATATATATATATATTTATGGTCACGCCCCCCCCCCATGATCCATACCATGGTTTTTTCTACCTCCTGCTGCTCATGCTTCGATTTCTACATGACTTCACCTACATACAAAATCATCGGTATTTGCGGTATTTTCTGCACCTAGCATCTACTTAGCTCTACATGTTGTAATTTGTTCTCACATGTTATATCCCCACGAAACCCGAAACGGATTCTGATTTCACTTTCGGGCTCCGCTCTTCCATCCAAAACCTGGCACTCCATGTTTCAGGAGGCATCACCGGTTGTTGTGCAAAAACTTCAACATGTTGCCTGTCACTGTCGCCATGTTTTGGTGCCTATGCCAATACTCAAACTGTGGTGTTAACAATAATGCTATCAACAACACTGATACGGATGTTGATAATCTGTTGAATATTCATGAATGCCAGTACTATTACCAGCAAGAACACTTAAATTATGGCTAATACGACTATGAATAGTCATAATTCTAATATCAACATTAATACTCCTACGAATACCAATAGTATATTCGTATTGATATGAATACTAATCTCTTTACTAATAGACACCTGCATATACTAATGTACATAAATATATATACCACTATCTTAAGATACAGGTATATACATTAGTGCATTCATGTACTAATGTTTTGGCATAAACATATACCCATACACCAATTCTTAATAATATTAGTGCTAGTGTTTGCTGTGATAGTATATATGTCAGTATTAGTAAATATAAATTAGTGTCAGTGCTCATGCTCGTGTTAGAGTTAGCACTAGTGCCAGTGTCAATGTCAGTAATACAGCACCACTTCTAGTATCAGTGTCAGTCTTAATGTTGGGTTTAATCGCAGCTTATATTCGCAGAAGTGCTAGTATTAGTATCAATACTAGAACTAGCTTTGATATGTTAGTATATTGATAGTTTCGTATAGTAGCAGACTAGTATATCAATATATTATTAATGCATTCGAACAGTAACATATTTGTATACTTGTATACTTGTATATTTGATATGTTAGTACAACTGGTGCACGAGTACACTAGTATATTGGTGTATTAGTTTACTAGTATGTGTGCTATATTCATGTATTGTCTAGTCATATTTACAAGTATATCAGTATGTTGGCATATTAGTCTACTAATTTGTCATGTCGGTATACTTGCATGTTGCAGTAGTCGTATATTAGTATACTCGCATATTAGTAATATCGATACTTCCACAAAACTATCACGTAACTCATGTGCCGCGTGTCTGGTGCATGCGTCCTCAGTACATGGCATGTCAAAGTATATGTTGTATACCTACTGCAAATGTTTTACTTTACAGATTGTCGTCGGGTGTGGTGTGCTTTGATACAATATCTCAAGGAATTGGTGGCATCGAGAGCATCTTGCAAGGATATGTCACCCCCGTCGCGGATCATGCTGGAAAAGAGGAAAAGAGGGACACAAACGATGACTTTCACTCGGGAGAGAACTGCAACGGATATGTCGTGGAACATACCGCACCTTGACATGGCATTAAAACAAAGCATATGCCATGTGTATACACGTGACAAACAAAGACATAATAGGAACACAGCATCCAAGGTTAGCAAATGCCGCCTGGCTCGAAAATCCCCAAAATTTGTAAAGCCTGAAATGCGAAAACATCGGCAGGGATCAAAAATCCCCAAAATTCCCAAAATCGTGGCATCTATGGGGCCATGGGTGTTTAGTTTTGCAAAACTTTGGGGATTTTCGAGCCTGGCAATGTTTTAGCATCCGACTTTGACGAAATGCCGCCAGGCTCGAAAATCCCCAAAATTTGTAAAGCCTGAAATGCGAAAACACTGGCAGGGATCAAAAATCCCCAAAATTCTTAAAATCCTGGCAACTATGCGGAGTGCGGGGCCATAGTCTCTCACGTTTTGGGGATTTTGGAGATTTTTGATCCCTGCCAGTGTTTTCGCACTTCAGGCTTCAGGAATTTTGGGGATTTTCGAGCCAGGCAGTGTTTTAGCATCCGACGTTGACGAAATGCCGCCAGGCTCGAAAATCCCCAAAATTCCCAAAATCCTGGCAACTATGCGGAGTGCGGTGCCATAGTCTCTCACATTTTGGGGATTTTGGTGATTTTTGATCCCTGCCAGTGTTTTCGCACTTGAGGCTTCAGGAATTTTGGGGATTTTCGAGCCTGGCAGTGTTTCAGCATCCGAAGCTGCCCACCTCCCATGATCCACTGCTTA